CCTCCCTTACCAGCAATGCAAACACATAGTAGTGGATAGAGTGAATGAGAACTCTAGTAGTGTTGAAATGGATCCCAGAGTCCAGAGGCTACAGAGCTGAAAGCCTGAGCCTGTATGTAGTCAGGAGAGGAGAAAAGCACAACCTATGCCTGGGGCAAGCAGAGAAAGACTGGTCTTCACCCCAAAGGGATGTCCAGGCAGACCAGTGCTGTTTTCCATCCTTTGTACCCCTAGATGGTACTTCTGCATGGGTCTCCCTGACCCCCACTGAGTCTTTCTGCCTACTGCTTCCAGAATAGCCTCTCTAAAATGCACATCTGATACTGTCATCCCACCATTTGAAATCTTCTGTCTTCCCGAGTTGGTCTTGAGATAAAGGCCAAATGCCTAATGAGGTTTCCAGGGTCTCACTTGACTCACTCGTCTCTCAGCCACCTCACTCTTGAACTTCCTCTTTCTCCAGTCTCCATCCGTGAACTCTGTACGCCAGCCATTAAGGCTTGCATTCATTTCCTCAAAGGGAAGAAGGTTTGCCTTGTTCTTGCTTCTGCTTGGAATGCCAGCTGCCTCCTTGCTGTGGGAAGTCTTGTGGACCACTCACATCCCTCCCATGGCTTTTTAGGAGCCTGTCCATCCTCCTCCCACTGTATTCCTTCCTCATGGTAGCGGCTGCCACTCCAGGACTGCTTGCATTTGCCTGCCTCTTCTCCTGACTAGAATTTAAGCTCCATGAGATCAGGAGCTGTGTCCATTTTGTTCAGTGTTAGACCTTTAGCACCCTCAGAGCAAATTGGTAAAGTAGGCAGAAAGGTGAAATTAGCAACAAAAGGCAACTATTACGCTGGGCCTGAGGAGCCGAGGCTGAGACACCTGGGACTCTTGTTTTTCCTGTGGCCTTGAAGCCTGAGAGAGCTAGACAGACCAGCCCTCCAGGTCTGCATTTGTCCACAGGAGCTAATTACACTTGACCTCAGTAATGACTTGGCCATGCAATGCCTTGTACTACCAACATGGATGACAAAATATCCCGAGTCCTTAAGATGGATTTTCATGAGACTCAAATGCCCTCCAGTACTCACGGGACCATATTGTGATTTTTGAACAATGGGAAGATAGCATTTCCACATTAACTTAAGTAATGGAAAAGGAATTTACACAGGTTTTGTTCTGTTTTTTGTTAAGCATTGTGCATTTTCTGCCCAAAATACTAATTAACTGCAATGCTGTGTTCATCAATTTTGGCATCTGTCCATATTTGGGGAAAAATTAAAGCTGAAGTCAAATTGAATCTGTCTTTGATAAGTGGCTATTTGTGACCCCCTCTATTATGAAATATGTGTATTTTGAGAGTTTTTTTAAACCCTTCTTTCATGATAGAAAGAATGTTTGTTTTTTTAACTGGTACGTATCAGGTGGTTATTTGTCAGTTAGTCTGAGAGCTAATATGGTATTTGGACTTAATTCAGTTCCATTAGAACAGAGTTAAACTTTGTGATACAGGGACTATTATCCTGGCAGTTGTAAGGGATTTTTGTGCTAGGAAGCAGGGCTACAAAGACGGCACTGTACGCGCTCCATCTGTAACTGAGCACTTTCACACTGCAGTTTAGAAAGTGTGCAGTCCAGGAAATTGCGGGCTTTGGCTAGAGCACACTTTAACTGCAAGGAAAATTTTATTTGCCACTCAAGTAATTGGCAGTTTTAATACCTTGTTCATAATTACCTTATAAACAAATGAATATATGAACCAAAGATTGTATGGCCTCTTATCTAACTTGTAGCCTATTCGACCAATGAGATAGATACCTGTGGGTCTCCTTCTCCCACAAAAACCCAATTTGCTCCATTTATTGTAGAAATCTATAGCTGAGAGTTTTCTTTCTGTTGTTAAATACACTGTGTGGCTGTACTAGCCCCACACAGCCTGGGGGCCAAAACCAGATGCAGAGTTTGATGGGAGGTAGTGGCTAGGGACCGGGGAAGGAGATGGAGGGCGGGTGCATTTCAGGTTTACTCTGCTATTTGTGGGAGGACATCCCAGTAATGCTAACATTTGGGTTTTGTATTTAAGAGAACATTTTTGTCCCCTAAGGTGTGGTTTTGTTTAACCCACATACCCTGATCCTAAGGCCCTGTGGCTGGTCTCTTGGACTGAATCCATCTCAGGGACCTAGAAATTGACTTATCGTCTCACTTGTGTTATCCTGTACCTCACAACTAGATCAAGGAGTTTATACACTGACAAATCTAGATGTGGGAAATAGTCAGAATCAGAGCTTATGGCTGACTTGACTCTAAATAAAGTCTGTAAGACTTTCTGGGAATCTTAGAGGCTTGATATTTGTACACAGGACTGCCAGTAGCTTTTTTCCAATCTTATTAACATAAATTCAGCTCTTAAGATGTAATCACGTATACATATTACCTTGCATAAGATTACTTAAAAAAATAGTGTTAGCTTCTTACATGACTTAGATCAATAAAGACAATTCACCACAGTACTTAAAAGGAGCATACAGAGGATCTGAACAATATTTTGAGAAGTTTGGTTAGTTTGTGGATGTCTGAATAGAAAATGTACAACCAATTTTCTACCCTGTTCTTCCTTGGAGGGAGAGCAGCACCTGACTTTTGCATGTATTCAGGAAGTCAGCCTTCTGCTCTGAGGGATCCCAAACATTTGCAAACCCCTGAGGCCACCAGCTACTCAGGGTGCAAGCACAGATTTGGGGACCCAGTCTCCAGGCCCTCCTTAGTGTTGGCATATGACTGCTCCATGAGCCAGTGTGGCTTCCCACATTAGTTAAAAACCAGAAGTTCAGCATTTCTGCAAGGATGGAAAGTAATGGGCCTTTCTGGAGGTTCATCTCCACAGAAGTGCTTAATTGCCAAAATATGTTTGAAACTTTTTTCTATGAAACAAGTCTTAAGGGATTGCTTTGGGACCAGTACGGACTTATTCTGTGAGGTGGCTCAGGAGTGCTCTGGACTCATTAGGTTAAAAGCTCTTGTGTCCTACTTTTAAAATCTATAAATTATCTACTCTGGAGTAATGTTCCTATGATTAAATGGCATAATAGATGAAAAATGGTTAGCATAGGGCTTAATACCTAATATGTCCTCAACATTTTTAGATTCTGTATGCCTTCCAAGACAGAGGTAAAGACATATCCCTCTTCAAAGGAGTTCACAGTATGGCTGAGAAGACCAGTGTAGAAGTGCAGTACAGGGGTTTGTGAAAATACGTAAGAAGTGTTCCTACTCAGGAACCTTCTGAGATGGTGAGGGTCCTGCAGGTTACAATAATGCAAGAGAGTTTAATAAGCCCAAAGCACTGTGGAACTAGTTATAGGTAAGAAAGATATACATATGAGATGTATTTTCTAAGTTTTCTCATTAAGTGATGGTTAACTGCAGACTACATGGAAACAGCAGCACATGACCTGTCACAGAGTCCTTGTTTCATAGTCCTTGGGTTATAAAGAGAAGACCTTTTTCTGTAGGTAGACTGTTAGCATCCCAGGCTTTCTACCATGACATGTTATTTTTCCCTGCCAGAAGATGGTCTAAGAAGTCCAAGTCACCTGGTCTAATAGGACAGTTAAGATGGCTTGCACATCAGTTTGATACCTAGTTTCTGGCAAGATTGTTTCTGGCATTTAATACTGATTTTCCCCTTAAAAGCTGCTGTATTGGTGACCGTTTAAGAGATCCTGCTTGACTCTTGTTTTGCTTTTCATTTGTGGTCTAGTATAATGTTCACCAAAAGAACTTTCCACAGTGTTGGAAATGTTCTGTATGTGCTCTGGCCTATTTGATAGCCACCAGGAAGATGTGGCTACCTAGGACCTGAAATGTGCTATTGTCACTAAGGAACTGAGTTTTAACATTTAATTTTAATTTAAAGGGCCTTATATGGCTACCACATAGGACAGCATGGTCTAGCATTTAAGACTGTTAATATCAAATTTTTAAATCTGATTACTCCCAGGGATTATTTAGACTGGTGTGTTCTTATTTAATACTTAATATTCAAAGCCCTGGAGCATATCCACTTGATTTGAAGACTGGCAGTGCATTGAAACTGGTGAATTCCTAAAGAAAAGGAAAGCTTTCTAACTTGGCTTTAGAAGCCCCAGTCTGATGAGTATTTTAAGTTCATTGGCACCTGTAGTGTGGATACTTCCCAAGAGAAGAGTTAGAACGAGGTTAAGAATCAAGAAGAAAGAATAGGGTACTTAACACCTCAGCGCCTGGAACGCAAACCTGGTGCTAGTCATTTCACATACCTTTTTTTCCCCTGCTTTATTATCCCATGTTTGTTTGTTTTGTTTTCTTTTTATTGAAGTATCCTTCATACACAATCTTATATTGCCTCCAAATGTATAACACAGTGGTTCCAACAGTTACACATAGTATTAAGTCCTCACCTCCACTAGTGCAGTTACTATTATCAACATAGAAAGATGTTAGAGTTATTAACTGCATTCTCCATGCTGTACTACTGTCCCGAAGACCAGTTTATATTGCAATTGTGAATTATTATGCCAAATACCATCTGAAACCCCTTGCCAGTGGTAACTACTAGTCATTTCTCAGTGTCTATGAGTCTACTGCTATTTTGTTCCTTCTATTCTGCTTTGTTTTTATATTCCGCAAATAAGTGAAATCACATTACATACCATTTAATAAGATAATGAGGAAGAAGAGCTATTAACAAAATAACAAAAATCAGTGTAAGTGCATAGCATCTAGGTAACCGTAACTGTTAAACACACCCAAATATAGTAGGAATTTTTTTCATATATTCTAATGCTGTGATTTACTATTTAATGCAAAGGTAAAGAGGCTAAAGAGTCTCTTTAACTTCTGTATGTACAGTTTATAGGGCAAATTAGTTTTGTATATTTCTGAAGAACAAGTTAGGAACAGACAATAAATTTCCTCTTTCAGGTTATTGTGCCATTAATCCTACTATCTGTGCCATCCTTTAATTCCAGAGCTGGAAACAAGATTGTTGAAATATTACCTGAACATCTGAAACAGTTTGAATCCCTTGAAACTTTGGACCTGAGCAGCAATATTATTTCAGAGCTTAAAACTGCTCTTCCACCTCTACACCTCAAATATCTGTAAGTCAAGTTTTCTTTAACAAAAAATTTCACCCAAGATGGAAATAGTGTTATAATTTAAAAATCAACTCTAAGATATAATGAACTCTGCCTGTTTTTTTTTTTTTACTGCTGATGGATCCAAAGATGTAACTTTCTTATTGACTGATAATTTGCTATAAGCCCAAATAGCCACAATCTTCATTTTATTCTTATACTTTTGGTTACAACAGATTAGACATCCTTTGTTAGGAAAACTCTATAGTGCTTCTTTTAAAAGAAATAATCAAAATTAAGCCACTACTGAGTTTGCTTATTAACAAGTGAATTTCATAAAAATTGGATAGGCATCTCTCACAAATTTTTGTAATCTTCAAATATTCCAATCAGTCTTTTCTCAGTAATATGTGTGAATCATAGTCATTATTGGTCCACAAGGACCCAGAGAATTAATTATTGTTAAGTGCCCATTGTTACAAATGAAGGTTGGGGTCTCCAGAGATTCCTTGTAATCCAGAGGCTTTACTTCCCACGCACTTTTAAAATACGTGTACTTTACTTCCCAAAGAACCAGAGCAAGCAGCTCATCTTCAACCTTCCAACAGGTATATCAACAGCAACCGCGTCACATCAATGGAACCTGGGTATTTCGACAATTTGGCCAACACTCTCCTTGTCCTGAAGCTGAATAGGAACCGCATCTCAGCTCTCCCACCCAAGATGTTTAAACTGCCCCAGCTGCAACACCTGTAAGTTAATGGGCCTATTGGATGCTGTTTCCTCACCTCTTATAAACCTAAGGTGTCCGTCCGCAAAAATCCACAATGTGCAAAAGGAGTTTAGAAGCAAGGTTATGGCTGTCTTCTCTTTGAGAGCTGGAGTTGTAGAATCTCTGAATTGGGAAGAGTCTTAAAAAGTCCCCTAATGCAGTCTCCTGCCTGACAAGGCCAGTTGGATTGTGAGCAGTGTAGTCACTGAACAGCCTCCACACAAGGGCTTCATTGTGCCACTGAAGAAATCATGGTGACTCTCAACAGCTGTGTTTTATGAGAATAATACAACTCCAGGAGGCTCTGATAGCTTAAGTGACTGTAATGAACTGTCTCGTTAATAATGGTAGAGTGATCTCTGAACAGGTTCCTACAATACAGTGGTTTTCAACCTTGGCTGCACGTTACAGACACTTGGGGAGCCTTTAAAAATCCTAATGCCCAGGCCACACCCTAGACCAATTATATTAGAACCTCTGGGGGTAAGACCCAGGCCTCCGTAACTTTTAAAACTCCCCAGGTGATTAGAGCATACAACCAGCGTTGAGAATGAATGCCTTAAAGAGAAAACATTAAACACATACACACACACAAATCATGGAAGAGAGTAACATTTCTAAGTCCAGATTGAACAGGATAAACTTGATGGCCCTGCTCCTCAGTAAACCTCATGTTTTAACATAACATTCAATATTCTCATTCTGGATAATTAAAAAACATACATTAATTTGTTTACTTCTATACTGAGTGGACAACAGTTTAGAAATTAAAGTAGAGTCCAGTTTCAGTATTTTATTACTCCAAAAATACATTGTACATTTCAGAAGGAAATTCACACACTGCTAATAAGCTTGAAATTCTCAATAAAAATGTTTAGAAATTTAAAACATTCTATCTGATTTAACACTGTCTGGTTTAGCTATATTGTAGTAATATCACATTTTATTACTACCTCCAGAGTTTGTCATATAAACTAACTCTTTAACTATAATATCCAATGCAGTGAACTGAACCGAAACAAGATTAAAAATGTAGATGGGCTCACATTCCAAGGGCTTGGTGCTCTGAAGTCCCTGAAAATGCAAAGAAATGGAGTAACAAAACTTATGGATGGAGCTTTTTGGGGGTTGAGCAACATGGAAATCTTGTAAGTGTTCCTACTCAGACAGTATGATCCTGCTATGCTCAGGGACCATTCGATAGCTTTGATTTAAAGTCCTATGTTAAAATATCATAACTTACAACTTGATAATTTAATACTCTGTTCTTTTAGGAAATATGACCGAAAATTTCTCAGTACATGATATTTTTTGCTGATGTGTTTATGTAACAAAAGCTAAACATCTAGTAACAATAGGAATACGTAATAGGTTGTAATTGTGTCTTCTTTGAAGAGACTAGATAATGAACTTTGATCCTGTTCTGATTCTTCCTGTCTGTGTAGGCAGCTGGACCAAAACAACCTAACCGAGATAACCAAAGGCTGGCTTTACGGCTTGCTGATGCTGCAGGAGCTTCATCTCAGCCAGAACGCCATCAGCAGGATCAGCTCTGATGCCTGGGAGTTCTGCCAGAAGCTCAGCGAGCTGTGAGTTGCCTTTTGTCCTCGGGTCTGAGAGCAGGGACCGTGTGCAGGAGCATGTGCTTCCTCCACTGGTCTGTGAAACGTTCCTAACAGTTTCCAAGGTGACAGCTTTTTCACATGCCACCTTGTCATATTTTTGTTGTGACTACTTGAAGCCAACTCTGCTGTCTCAGTGATGTGACACATGGGCGAAAGCACTGAGAGCTATTTTCAAATAGAGAGCATTTATTTTTTGTAATTACTGGGATTAGAGATAACATATACTTGAGTATTATTAAGAAGGTAGAGTTTTAAAATGAGGATTATTGTGGTTTACGTATATTACCTATTTTTTGGAAAATGAAACATTGGGTTGAATTGGAAAACTAGAGCTCTTAATTTATTTTTTGTTCCTTTTTTTCTTGACAGGGACCTAACTTTTAATCACTTATCAAGGTTAGATGATTCAAGCTTCTTGGGCCTAAGCTTACTAAATACACTGCACATTGGAAATAACAAAGTCAGCTACATTGCTGACTGTGCCTTCCGGGGGCTTTCCAGTCTAAAGACTTTGTAAGTTACACATTTTGCTCTCTGTACGTAACCTAATTGGTTCCTAAATGTGCCCTCTTTTCCCCAAGCAGATTTCCTTTGTTGTGAAGGAAATGTGTACAGTCTCAGAAGTAGTGTCTTATTCTTTACCACATCAATTTGATTAAAATAGGTCCACTTCATCCATATGTGTTCCTTAAAGGAATTAAGAAAGACAGTCATCAGATTGTTCTGTGATTACAGTCAGCCTCCATAGTATCTCCCAGAAGTTGGTAAACTGCTCAGAAGGATACAGTTTTAAATCCACTCATTTTTCTTTATAAAAATGCAGATTAAAAATCACCCTGAGCAGAAGGATATTAAATGAGCAACAAAGGAAAATGCCTGTGTATCACACCAGTTATGTCCAGACTTGATCTCTGTCCTGAAAGAAAGGAGAGGGTAGATTGCTTGACCTTTGAAAAATCTCTCAAATGTTAATGTTATGCAACAGACTGTTGATTTTTGCACTGTCAGAAACTTTTGCTCTGCTCACTGTTTGAGGCATTATATAATTGAAGGACATGCTGTGTGCTTTGGCGAACTCCCGCTTGTGTGGTTGGAGCAGTGGTTTTAAAGTTTAATGTATTTTTCAGGCTATTCAAGTCTTTGAGAATTAGTCATCTTGATAGAAGAATTAATAGGGCCAGAGTCAACTGTCCCAATTTTGGGCAGAAACTTAAAATGTGGTTGAGAGAGGAGGGCATGGTATAAGCCATTATGTTGGAGAAAGAGTTTTCTATTGTTCTGAAAGGGGTGGAGATGATGTGGGGAATTAGGTGGAATTATTATAAATTGCATGCCACCTGGGTGGTGAGCTCAGCTCTCCAAGCACATCTCTAATGAGAATGCTTGTACCTTTTGTTAAGTATCTGGTACTAGTTTCAGCAAAGTTCCTTTTTTTAGGGATTTGAAGAACAATGAAATTTCCTGGACTATTGAAGACATGAATGGTGCTTTCTCTGGGCTTGACAAACTGAGGCGGCTGTAAGTATGGTTTGCTTCCATATTCGTCTTATACTCTGACCTGAAAATTTTGCCTTAGTTGGAGTCAATTCTACAAGTTGACATTCTTAGAGAGTTTAGAAATAGGTGCTTAATCTGATTGCTATCCCTTGTCATGTCCCTGAATGAGGGCTGTTCTGCAAGATGTGTATTAATTCACTTGTCTGGAGTATTGCTGTTTCATTCAACACTTTGGTTAGTATAACTTATTTTAACATTTAGATGAGAATTTTACATTGTTTTGAGTGTTCAGACTGTTGGGATTGTCATTGTGTAAAAGTTACTATAGTATTTCGAAGCTTTCACTGCCACAGGCATTTTTAAGGGGGATCCAGTAGCCACTGAATAGGTTCCAAGTAATACAGATAAACCCCATGCTGGTATTTAGCCATAAAATGGCTTTGTAGATGACCAAATTCTGTGTTTTAAGCGAATGGTTTTCAAGTTGAGTTCCATATAGCCCTAAACTTCTGTGGATGGTGGAGGCATCCCTAGGAATGGTGGGTAAAGAGAAAGTTTCCACTATTATCTGTTTTACTGGAGTTCTGCGACATTTACCTGAATACGTCTCTCCGTCTTCCTAAAATGAGTTTGAAAGTCACTGCTTTAAATTAACCGGCGGAGTGACTTTCCGAGTATCTATTTTGGCTGGGTTCTCTGCTGAATGCTTTGAAACCATGCTGAATTGTGTTACTGAAACAGATGGCATGGCTATACTTGTACAGGATATAGTGTTTATTGAAGAAAATAGAATTATTTACAGAAGGTTTAAATATTAACTCTTCATAAGAATTCTACCCCAAAATGGCTTTTATTAACTGATACCTTTTTTTCTTTCCCAGAACACTCCAGGGAAACCGGATTCGATCTATTACCAAAAAAGCCTTCACTGGTTTGGATGCATTAGAACACCTGTGAGTAGCTGGACTTTAGTTACCCTACAGGTAGTCTAATATGGTTATCTACTCACGTGTCACGAACAAGAAACTAGAATGTAATTTTTTCAGTATCTTCTCAGTACTCTAAAGTGTATTTACACATCTGCTTATCTTCTCCTTACCTACCTAACTGTAAATATGTCTGTAACAGAAGTATACAGGTATATACTTTTACCTTTGCGTTTAAGGACATTGTGACATATCATTATTGAGTTTTATTTTAGTTATTTTCTAGTGCTGATATTTAACTTTTTAAAAAACTACTGTATATTGTGTGCCCTCCATGTCAGGTGTTGTGTGGGTATTTATATATATTGTCTCATTTAATCACAAAACTTCAACAGCTATTATCACCTTTATTTTTCACTAAAGAAGTAGACATTCTGAGTATTCATTGATTCCATTGAACAGTTATAGGAAGGTGACTTGGACTTTAAAGATCAAAAAAGACAATTTCCCACAGTTCTTAAGAGCAACACTAAGAGTGTATTAACTCTACTTTGAGAAGTTTGGCTAGTTTGCTGTTGACTTCGCTTGATTATAAAATATACAACCCATTTAAACCTCTCCCTTTTTTCTTTGCTTGTTCCTTTTTTCTGCTGACTCACCAGCTAGCAGCTGGCAGAAGCAGAACTGAACCCTGGGCAGCCTCTGCCTTCACAGTGTCCTTGTATCACACTAGCCTTCCCTGTCTCTGCACCACCTTCCTTAGTGACTCCTGGTACATGTTCTTGAAATGATATTTAGGGACTCAGGTATTTTCAGCTGTGAGGAGAGCAAGCTAGTCAGCCTTCATAGGAGTCAGAACCTTCACGAACACCAAACCAACCAGCTCCCTACAACCATAGGTACATGTTTTTTACTTGCACAAAGTGCAAAGTAATGTAAAATATGTTTGCTTAACTATTAAGGAATTTTTGTAGCCAAAAGCTTTAATAGCTATTAACTTGGACAGAGAAGCTATAATTTAAAATAGACGTTTGGGTTGCACCCTCATTTGTGCTGTGGGTGGAGTGTAAGATGCAGCCGCTCCCCGTGGACTGCTTTGTCCTTGTCCTCCGACTTTCTGTTAGTTTGCAGGAGACTGGGCTTGCTCGCCCTGCTGACAGTGTGGCAGTTCCGTTTGTAGGAGGATTCTGCAAAGCAGAATTTGGAAGGGTAGACCAGTGTTGCTGGACTTCCTGAAATAAATTATTTTCAAAGGGAAACTAGCCAAAAGGGTTTGTCATCTGACCCATTCCATTTCTGGGAAAGTGGAATTAGTGGATCAGTGGAGTATTAACTCTGCTTCACTTTCTAAACCTTCTCAGCTCTCCCAGCCTCTTTCTCTGCCTCTGTTTGGTACCTTCATCTGTCTTCTGTTGCCACTTGTCTCATTTAGAACATCTTTTGTGTGTTCTGTGCCCATAAAGAAGGACAGGGTAGTTATTGTGGATGGTACTTTAATTCAAACTGCTTATAAGTACTAATTAAAAATAAAACTTGCCCAGAGTATTCTCTCATTTTGTAAATGTCCCACTTTAAGTGTTTGTTTTAGCAAGTGCATCTTGTCTGAACACCTTACTGTCTCCACAGTAGTGAGTTGTGTGTGGCCAAATAGGCTAGTGACTTGGAGCATAGGTTGTGAAATAGAAAATAATTGAGTTCAAATCTTATTTGCCCCTTTGATGCTGAGCAAGGTAAGTACTACTGTCTCTTTTGGTTACTGTGAGGATTAAGTGTAATAATATGTAAGTGTAAATCACAACATGGTGTATATCATAGAAACTATTCTAGACATGATTTTTGAAGGCATAACTCTGAGGAGTTTTATTTGTGTGTTTAAAAGTTACTAATGGTTACTAATTTGAATAATGGGAAATACAATAAAATAATACAGAACAGCTCAGGCCTTATAAGTCAAGTGACCTCTAAGTGATGATGTAAAGTGAGTCTCTCACCGTAACAGAGCCTCTGTACAGATGGCCTCGCTCTTCAGTCAGGCTTCCTATTGGGTTCTTCTGTAGTGGTCCTATTTGTGCATTCCCACACATAGAGTATTTGTTTGGTGAATGAAATGGGTAGTGTAGGCCCAACTTCCGCCTGAAGGATTGCAATGACCATATCTCACTCTAACATATTTGATTCGGTTGTTTTTTTTTTTTTTTTCAGAGACCTGAGTGACAATGCAATCATGTCATTACAAGGCAATGCCTTCTCACAGATGAAGAAACTTCAACAATTGTAAGCTTTTCTCTTCCTTCCAAGAGTTTCAAATAAAACATAGAAGGGGAACCTGTCATGGGGTGATACCATTCCAGATTATGTGATTATAAAAAGTGTCCAGCACATTATTAACATTACTTAATGTTGATAACAGAAAGCAAACAGAGTTGGTCCCTTTTTCTTTCTGTGATGAATTTGAGACCTAAATTTGGTGGGACCTAATCATAGTAAAGAATTTTTAGTATTAAGGTATTTTTGATGTATGAGCCCTTCTATCTCAATACGTCAATAAGAACAAAATGTTACTAAAAAAATGATGTTAGTTGTGTTTCTTGCATTTTAAGATGGACTGTAGAATATTTATTGCATGGGATGTCTGTATTTGGTTTCCACATTCATCACTTTGTTAATATTGAGTTTGGTTTACTTGTAGAAATCTGCCATTCATACAAAACAAATTGAATGTAATTACTCTTCTCAGGCATTTAAATACATCAAGCCTTTTGTGTGATTGCCAACTAAAATGGCTCCCTCAGTGGGTGGCGGAAAACAACTTCCAGAGCTTCATAAATGCCAGTTGTGCCCATCCTCAGCTGCTAAAAGGAAGAAGCATTTTTGCTGTTAGCCCAGATGGCTTTGTGTGTGGTGAGTATGAGTCTTACCTTTGCCTCTGTTCATTCTTTTTTTTCTATTTGGTTTTGAATAAATGTGTGTTCTCTTAATAAAACTTTATTTCTGCTGAGGTAGATGAAAATGGATCTGTAGTTTGCTGATTATTTTAATTTTAAAGATGAGGTTTCTAAAATTTATTCGTCTTTGTTTTGGCATCAGGTGGTTTGGTGGAAATAGGATTCTATCTTGGGAGAATTGAAGGAGAGTTACAGCCCTTCCACTTAACCAAATTCCCTAAATCTCAGTCTCTGCCTCTATGAAGTGGGAGTTCTGTCTGCTCTTCCCAACTTGAGGGGTTGTTGGAGATGTGGAAGAGCTCAATACAGAGACTGAGCTGACCCTGCATAAATGCTATTTATGTGGAATACAAAGAGAAAATTATTAGCTGGTGATTTATAGGCTGCTAAAAATTATATTGTTGATGGGTAAAGCAACAGGTAACAAAGACTTTGAATTTATTATAAATAAATTTAAGGTTTGTTGTTTTAGCATCCAGGAATCTCAGCATTAGAAGAAATCTGCTTCCCCAAATGTCACATAGCTAGTTAGTAATCTAGATCAAAAGCCCAACTTTTCATCTTCCTGGAACGGTGTTCTGTCTGCTATACTGCAGTGCTGTGTACAACTCACTGCCATGGAGACCTTTGTAAACACAAATGTGCATATATATAGAACATGACATCATATTTAAATTTTAGCATGTTTGCTCAGATACTGCAGAACCTAATTTCACATTGGCCTTAAAAATGTATTGAAAATTGCTTTGCCTACTATTGTTTAGTTAAGTATAAGAAAAATATTTTTTTAGATTTGGAGCATTAACCAGTGCCAACAGTTTCTAGAAATAAAATGTCTGATATGTCTGATGTGGCTTTTGAATCTAAATAAGCTTTTGGCATTCATCTATAAGGGCCTGAGCTATGCCTTTCCCATGGCCCTTATTTCACAGTCTCTAGGACTAAGAGACGAACTTTTACTTTGAAACATACGTATATGGTATCCATAGATTTTTCACTCCCTCCATTGTGAATCAAAACATTGATTTTCTAGATGAGAATTTTAGAATAATTATACAAAAGAAGAAACTATCTTGATTAGTTCTGGCATTGGCGCTTCCCCGACACTCCATTCACACACATACGAGTTATTTTTTAGAGTACCCAAATAATACATTTTGGTAGATCTAATCTGTTTCCTTCTGGATTTGGACCATCTCTGAGAAACTAAATTTCAGAAAGGTAACTTTTCTAAAAAGTAACAGAACTAAAAATAACTGTTTGCAATGAAAGAGTTACTTAGCTCTAATTATAATGTGGCTCTGACAGAGTAGCACAGCAGCCTGATTGATTGTCCTCCCTAAACTCCAGGGGGAAGCCAGAGTCTCACACTGAGTTTTGGAGATGCTTTTTCTTTTGCTATAGCATTATTTTTTCTGCTCTACTTAAAGATTACTGCTCTTCAATAAGGGTTCTGTTTTTGGTAAATGGGGTTTTGATTGCTGTCTTTAGTTATGCTGCATTGATGTTTTGCTGCTACTTTGTGGAGAGCATGGGAAAAATTGTAGTTCCTACTAGTAGTACTTAAAGATGATCCATCAGTCTGGAATTTTCTTGACTTATTCCCTCTTATATTTATATTTAAAAAGGCACAAGAGGTCTAGAATAAACCATATTCCAAAACACAGTCTCCTCTCAGCTAATGATTGATAAATATGTCTCAGACTCTATTTGATGTGAACAAATTACTTTATAAACACTCTCCCAGGCTGTCATTTCAACACTGGGACTGCTAGTCCATCTGTGAAATACACAAAGGGTGAAACCTAAGCCACTATTTGTTTTGAGTTTCATGTTGTTCACATCTGAGTAGCATTTGGACTCTCAAGCCTTAAAATTGTTTTGTTTTCTCCTCTCTGTTTTGAACAGATGATTTTCCTAAACCCCAGATCACGGTTCAGCCAGAAACACAGTCGGCAATAAAAGGATCCAATTTGAGTTTTATCTGCTCGGCTGCCAGCAGCAGTGATTCTCCAATGACTTTTGCTTGGAAAAAAGACAATGAACTATTGCATGATGCTGAAATGGAAAATTATGCACACCTCCGGGCGCACGGTGGCGAGGTGATGGAGTACACCACAATCCTTCGGCTGCACAGCGTGGAATTTGCCAGTGAAGGGAAATACCAGTGTGTCATCTCTAATCACTTTGGGTCGTCCTACTCTGTCAAAGCCAAGCTTACAGTAAATAGTATGTAACCTGACTTCCCTTTGCATTTAAAGACACCTTTAGAAACAGAAAGTACCTGGTTACCTCTTCTCTTATGCCTAACCCTGTCTTGTGCTCCCATCATTCTACACTTAACCCTTTCGCTACCTCTCACTCCACAAAATTAATACTCTTGGTCATTTGTATCTAAGCAGGCAATTATTATGTTGAAGACAGTGTACTTAGTATGGTGGGTGTAACACAGAGATGAACCAGATACTCTGCTCTTTGGGCATACTCAGTGTACTAGTCTGATGTGGGAGGCCATAAAGTACAGTGTGAAAGCATACTGCCTCTAACTCAGAGATCTGGCTTTGCATCCTGCCACTCCTGCATATAGCTGTGTGACTTAGCAAGTTATTTAACGTCTCTGTGCCTCCATTCCACATCTTTCAATTAGAAATAGTACAACCTACCTTACAGATGTATGATAATCATTAGTAAAATAATTTGTATAAAGGACTTAGAATACCTGGAATACAGTAAGTGCTCAATAAATGCAGTAAGTCTCAGCTGCTGTCATAAAAGTATATCACTGTTTGCTTTGTGTGGCAGAGATACAGTTCTATGATAGGATCCTTACCACTTTATCATTTAATCATTTGTGTTTTCCATGGTGGAAGAGTTTATGTATGATTCATTAATGCATTCTTTCAACAAATGGCTGCTGAGACCTGACACACAGGGCAATTTTGAGTTTAAAACTGTAGGACAAAACATACATCTAAAGTCATAAACTCTTAGAGCCAGAAGGGACTTAAAAGAATTAAAGGGTAAAGTGAATGGTAGTCAGGGTACAAGAGATTAGTTGATATGCCCAAGATCTCACATATAATTACTAAGGAAACAAAAAGTAACAGAAAATAGCAGAAAGGCCTTCAGTCTGAAGATGGGCTACCTGTGTTTTGTCCTGACTCCATCACTTCTGAGCCTGTGAAGAGCTCACCTAATCTCTCCATCTCCACTTCAGATCACTTGTCTTGCAAGTAGAAGTAACCCCTGCCTTGCTTGTGTCATTTGCAAATTAAAGGATGAAAATGAACCTCTAAAACTCCACAGCAGTGATGCCCATGTTCTGATTTCAGTGCTTCCTTCATTCACCAAGACCCCCATGGACCTGACCATCCGTGCTGGGGCCATGGCACGCTTGGAGTGTGCTGCCCTGGGACACCCAGCTCCACAGATAGCTTGGCAGAAGGATGGGGGCACAGACTTCCCTGCTGCACGGGAGAGACGCATGCACGTTATGCCTGAGGATGACGTGTTCTTTATCGTGGATGTGAAGATAGAGGACATCGGGGTGTATAGCTGCACAGCTCAGAACAGTGCAGGGAGCATTTCTGCAAATGCAACTCTGACTGTCCTCGGTAAGTGGGTACTTAAACAGATCCTGTGGTATAAATTGGGCTTGACAATACTAGCTCATCCAAAGGCCCTACGTGTCCACGTTGTGAGGGTGAGAAATGACCTACAGACACTGTCCTTCCCTGGAGAGAACAAATGGCTTCTCAAAAGCATTGAAATGGGAGTGCAGTATGTCTCCAAGTCTGTGGCCAATGTGATGAGTGTGCTCCCATCTTTCAAGGAGAGGGAAAGTAAATGCTCTAATGCTTTCCCTTCGTCAGGAATTACCTTCCCCTACTCTTCCTGATGGTCAGTCTCCACCACTTGTCTTAACACTTAAAGAGTATGTGAGAAAATAAACACAGGGACAAATGGGGAAAGACCTATTTTCTCTGGTTACCATACCCTCAGGGAACCAGAGTTTGTCTTTTATCTTTTACCTAAACAGATGCTTTTAGAAAACATGAACATTAATCATACGTGTATCTTCAAAAGAGTTAAAGTAACCTATGAATGCCAAGTAATAAAAAAATTATTTTCCACATTATAATACAGGCCTAGACATCTAGCACTAGAAAGTTTCCCTTTAAAAATTTAAACATTCTGATTTTTTTCCAATACACCCTTGTTGTCTGAAATTATTTTCATGTATTTCTTATTTCTAAACAATTTAACTAAAATGTTTTATTTTGTCCCCTTCCACCACTCCCCAACCTCAACAAAACTGAGGGAGTTTAAGACCAAAAATATAATAAAGTTTATCCTCAACTGATGTTCTAAACCTAAGTAAATGCTAGCCAAACAATGAAATGAAATCCTAAACGTGGTATACATGTTAGGCTTTTAAAGAAGTATTAAGCGGTGGGAGGATGTGGACTAGGTCCAGTTTGAACTCAAGTGCTGGGTCTCATGGGCACAAACCCAACTTCATCAAGGAGCTGAAAGCCTGACTTGTCGCTGCAGAAACACCATCATTTTTACGGCCACTGTTGGACCGAACTGTCACCAAGGGGGAAACGGCCGTCCTGCAGTGCATCGCCGGAGGCAGCCCTCCTCCCAGGTTGAACTGGACCAAGGATGACAGCCCCTTGGTGGCCACCGAAAGGCACTTTTTTGCAGCAGGCCATCAGCTCCTGATCATCGTGGACTCTGATGTCAGTGATGCCGGGAAATACACATGTGAAATGTCCAACACGCTCGGCACTGAGAGAGGCAACGTGCGCCTCAGCGTGGTCCCCACTCCGACCTGCGACTCCCCTCAGGTGACTGCCTCATCACTAGGTGACGACGGATGGGCCACCGTGGGCGTCGTGATCATCGCAGTAGTTTGCTGCGTGGTGGGCACGTCGCTCGTGTGGGTGGTCATCATATACCACACCAGGCGCAGGAGCGAGGACTGCAGCATCACCAACACAGGTGTGTAAACAGAACCGGGTGCAGCAGTTGTGCGTTTGAGCCCACGGTAGTTTTATCCTGGAATGTGAGCCTTTCAGTCCGAGGCTGTGTTGGAAGGGTGACTCGTGTGTTTCAAGCTGCAGAAATAAGGCTAGCTAAAAATAACACCCCAGCCCAAAAAACAACTGACATTTAAACAATACTTTTCGTAAAACCTCATCAGAATACCCTGTGAGATGTGAAACAGTGCAGCTCCTTCACGAGATGGTGATGAAGAATCAGAAACAGCCTTTCAGTTACAAGGCTTAGCACTCTGCTGTGGTTTGTTCTTTGTCCCACGTGTGTAAATACACATGAGTGTGCAAAGACATATACATCTAGAAAGGATTCAAGTTACTGGTGGGAGAAGGGGCTATGACTTGTGTAATAATGTGCAAACTCCTGTATCACTGAATAACATGAAGTTGGCAATGAACATGGCAGAAGCCCAGCTTAATCCAAGAGTTTAGATACTACCCTGTGAAAGTTCCTAAGCCTTTTCGAAAACAAAACATTTGTTTTTGAAATTTTGAAGAGGCATCCCATAGGCAATAGAGTAAAAAATCAGCTCACACTTCCTAAAACAGCAGAGCCCTGATTTGCACATTGAAGATCGTTTTGCAGGAGTAAATTTATCTGATTCGTACAGAAACCAAAACAGTATATACCGTTTATCAGGAAGTCTGTAGAGCATTTATGATTGTTCTTGGTTAAAAGAATGCTGTTGTTTGATTATAGATGAGACCAACTTGCCAGCAGATATCCCTAGTTATCTGTCATCTCAGGGAACGTTAGCTGACAGGCAAGATGGGTACATCTCAGAAAGTGGAAGCCACCACCAGTTCATCTCTTCTTCAGGAGGTGGATTTTTCCTACCACAACACGACAGTAATGGTAAGTGTTTAAAATGAGCATGTAGCTGTTTTGAAGTAAGCTCAATTGCAATATTAATTTTCATAAGAAACTGATACACTCAAATTTAAGAACTGGCCAAAGATCACTTGCAAAGCTGAAATTAAATAGTTTTATGCCCTTCTCTTAAATACTAGAAAAATCTTTGCATCTGACAATAAAAAAAGACAAGTAGGTTAATTAAAATTTAATTCTTCCATGCAATGTCATATTTCCTTTATGTTGTAAATGTTCTTTGACCCTGAATGTTCTCCTGACTTAAATATCATTAACTGATTTCATGCATGGTCTTAAAAGTGAGATGATTTAAAATCATTCTGTTAAAGAAATCTAATTCCACCTCTTGCGTTAAGAACTGTACAGTTTCCTTTGGTTTCTGATAGTTTCTTCATTATGGAATAATAATGGAGGCAGCATAATACAAGAGCACAGTCTTAGTTCAACACCCCCTTTGGATGGTCCCTGTGTATCCTTGGGCTTTCCTATTAGGTTGTTCTGAATTAAGTGCTAGTACACTATTAGGTGCTAGTACTTACCTATTGGGTTGTCATGAAAATTAAAGGAAGTGATAATGGAATACTGCATGGCGCTTGGCATCTGTTAAGGGATCAACAAGTGGAAGTCATTGACTTTATTTTCAAATGCTTTACCCAGTCTTTCCCACAAGCATTTATTGTGTGTCTGCTATGTGGTAGACTCCGTAGTTAGGAAGGAGAGTATTTATTTCCAGTCTCACAGTATAGTCAGTAGTGAGACAAAAAATTCAACAAATAATTACAAAGTGCTTGGCAAGGCAATGATAGAGGATATAGAGATAGAAAGGAAGATTTAAACTTGGATGTTCTGGTTAGACTCATTTGGGAGCAAGAGCAGTTCCAAGCTTGTTCAAATGTAGCAGGATTTATTCAAAAGACTTCTGCACAGGTCTGATGGGACAGAAGTGGAGCATAATAATGCTGTGTCCCTTGGAAGCTGGTGCTAAGAGACTGGTCCACTCTCAGAGCAGCTTTACTGAGTCACATTCTGCCTGTTTGCTTCTCTGAGCCACCACCCACCCTCTGCCTGCCCAGTTCCTGCTTCCCAGACATGTGGCCCATCCTACCATTTCCACCCCTTGCAATCTCTCTTATCCTTCAACTTCTATGTCTGCTACTAACTGCCATTTAATTTCTGGGTTGTTTAGCTCAGATAATCACAGTGGGATTTTTTTTTTCTTTTTTTTGGCTGAGCTCACCTTGGACCTGGGCTTTAAGAGGTAATTGACTAAGTGCCACTCCCTGGTTCTGGTCATCTGTGACATTCTGGAGGAAGGGGGCAGTGCTGATGGCATCATGCAGTTCAGACTGACTGCTGCAGCCATAGTGCCTCTACATAGATCAGTTTCTCGTGGAAACCAGGTGGAACCAGCAGCCAGGTTGCCACATCAAGTATAGTGGTTAATCAAGTCATCCTTCAATAAGATGTCAACTACTAATCCGTAGGCCTCAGTCAATTATTTAAAATCCCTACTGTAAATTTCTGCGATTTTTTTCTTTTATGTGATATCCTATCTAAAATTTTCAGCCATAAATATGGAAAATGCCAAAAATGGAAAGAATATTGAATGGTACTTGAATAAAATTGGTTCAGTGACTGAGATATGTTTTAAAGGAACATGCCACATTGACAACAGCAGTGAAGCTGATGTGGAACTTGTCACGGATCCATTCCTTTGTCCCTTTCTGGGATCCTCAGGCCCTGTGTATTTGAAGGGGAATGTGTATGGCTCAGATCCCTTTGAAGCCTATCATACAGGTATGTGGTTTTCTTATCTCTGTTCTGTTCTGTTTTCTGGAGAGACTTCTAGAAGCACTAATTGTGTCTCCTCCTGATCTTGTCTCCAAATGAAAAAGGCTATGGTCCTGACCCAAGAACAGCACTAATGGACCACTGTGAGGCCAGTTACATGACGACAAAGGAGTGCTGCTCATGCCCACATCCTTCAGAAGAGCCCTGTGGACAGAGGGTCAGGGAGACAGGGTGGCCTTCACACGGGAGGAGGTTCATCAGCGCTACTTACTCCCAAGACGAAGCACCGAGAACAAAAAGTTTGTGTCTAAACAAGTCGTCTTTAGATTTTAGTCCAAGTCCAGAGCCAGCGCCAGTCACTTCAAGTAATTCTTTCATGGGTAAGTTTATTACATTGTTAGACAGCTTGACTCAGGACCCGTAATCCAAGTTGCATGTGGGAGAGCAGTGAGAGCTCTGAATGCCAAACTGTGAAAAATGGGTTCCTGCTTTTTTTATTCTTTTTTTTTTGTAATGTACCGTCAGTATCCTGTAATGATACTGATCCTATTAGTATACGTGTTTCTAAGAGCAAAGCAGACATGGGAGATTTTACTTGATTGTGGATTTATTCCATAACTAAGCCCCGGCTTGCTGTGTAACACTGTGTGTGGCATCGTCTAGAAGACAAGTTTTGGGAATGACTTAGTAGCTCACTCTGTCAGCCATGTGGAAAAAGTGGTTTTGGGTACAACAGCCTTTGGGGTGGAGTTGTATGCACTGCGTGATTGTGGTTTGGGATGTCTGGTGGCTTATAACTGAACCCACACTCAGAGGGTAGCTGACGTCCTACCTGGAAACAACTGCTCATCAGCCAAGTTGGCTACTTTAGGCAAAAGAGACCATCCAAGCCTTGCAGCCCACGCTGCTGGTGGGAGACACTGGCTGGCACCAAGATTTGTGTGTAGATTTTTTAGTCTAGTGCATGGCACAGTGGCACGGAGGAACTGAGATCATCTTTTTACAAAATGGAGATATGGAAAAATGAACCACCACTTGTTCTTTAAAAACTAGAATTTTTAAATATTTTAGCCAGCTTTTAAGAAATTTTTTGTTTTATCATGGTATGATTATTTTTAGTCCTTATTGAAAAAATGAAAGTAATGTATTTTGTAAGACTGAGGCAGGAATTTGAGTCAATTGAATAATATTTTGCTACTAAAGAAGAAAGGCTAAGACATAAGAATTATAGAAAAGCTTTCTATATTCAGGCACAATTTGCTTGTACATTAGGGAACTTCATTGCTCAATGCTTAATATTACTGTAGGTTATGAAGAATGGTAAAGGATGGTGCATGTACTCAGTGGCTATATAAGAGGAGTGCAGAAACCTTCTGCCCCATTCTGCAAGTTCTTTATCTGTCGGTGATAGACATACACTGATACCATTATATGGACTTGTAGAAAATACTTCTTAATATTTATGGGGTAAGATGCTCCTTCTTTTGAAATGTGTCTTGACTTACGTGCTAGCGAAAGGACCCACACGCTCAAGGGGTTTCTTTCTTTCAGGAACGTTTGGAAAGCCTCTGAGGAGACCGCACCTGGATGCTTGGCCTGGCTTCGGGCAGCCATCGGGTTGTCAGCCAAGAGCCTTTCACTTGAAAGCTCATTCTTCCCCACACTTGGACTCTGAGTCAGAGGAAGATGGGAAAGAGAGGACAGATTTTCATCAAGAAAATCACACATGTACCTATAAACAGACCATAGAAAACCACAGGACTCCAAATTTTCAGTCTTATGACTTGGACACATAGGCTGAACAGAACCAAAGAAGAATTCTAACATACTACCTCAAGTGGACTTTTATTTAAAAGAGAATCCTATGTTTTTAAATGGACTTAGGAATTCGAAAAGATAAAATGTCTTATTTATACAGATGGACAAAATTACAAGAAGTTATACAAATTTTATACTGGGAGAACCTTTCATATAAGAATACCTTTTAAAACTATTTTATAACTTTTATGAAAAAGTTCTTAATGTAAATTAATGGTATAAATACATGACTATTTTATGTATTTTTATAATGCCAGAATTCTTTTTATTGAAATTGAGTACTAAAAGCATTTTAAAGAATACTCGTCTTGTTCCGTTTTTGACTAGAGGTCACTTCATTTTATTTTGCACATTACATTTAATAAGATGTATCATTTTGATCCCAGGTCCCATCTGTACAATAACAATTTTTACTGTTTCAACACATTTTAAAAGACTTAATTATTTCATATTATCACATCTCAAATTGACGAAAATTATACTCAGCACATTAAAATATGAGTAAAACATGACTGTTCTGCCTGCCTCCCAGGGTTGTAATACAGACTCAAATCAGATTAGTGTATGTGAAAGCATATTGTAAACAAGAAGAGGTACGAGGATTCGAGGTACATCAATTTATTTCTCTGCAAACAAAAGATTTGCTACAATCTGGTGGGATACAGTACAACTGCTCAGCCTGTTTCCTGAGTGATGATAATGCCTTATGTGGTCTAATGCCTTGTGCTTTTCTGAAGAGTTTCCTGTTTACCACCCCTTTAGTTATAAGAGGAGAGTGGTTTATTGCACATTCCTGCAGTTGAAATGGCAATAGCAAAGGTGCCTTCTTAACCACTGTCCAGGTTATAAGGGGGATGCTGGTATAATTCTTGGCTATTCTCACGGTTTTCTGCTGGATGAGCAGTTCTTAGAGAAAAGATACTTTTTTGGTATTCCACAACATTCTTTAAGAATTAAAATATTTTCTTATTCTGGCTATCGTGGCTCTACTTGTCAAAAATTGAATATCAAATCTGTTACTTAAATATAATACTATTTAAAATACTTGTTTTTAGGTGAAAATGTCATAAGACTGGCATATATACACAAAAAAATGAATACAGTAATTTCAAAATTAAGTGACATGGTTTGTAGTAATTGAATGAAATAAAATTAAGTTTAATAATTCAGATGATGCAATAGAATTTTTTGTTTATTAAATCCTTGTTCACATCTGTAGCTAAAAACAAAAACAAAAAAAACTTGTCCAAGATAAATTGTCATGGAAGGAGTTAATACAGGACATTAAGCTTTAAAATCCAACCTGCTGAAGGTATGAATTTATGTCATTGTCAATTCTTTGAACTAAATTGAAAACATACTGGAGAAGCAGATTCTTCTCAGAGGATATGTTTGGGGTCAAGTTTTCCTGCTTATTGCGTTTGGAATTTTGTTGGTGAGCCAGAAGCCTGGAACCCAGATTGCAGACAGATTTTCCTCCTTTAATTCAGATACCAGAGTCCAAGACGGGAAGTTGACACCTTTCCTTGGACCACTAGTGACTAACTACAGAGAAGTGACTTTGTATGCTTTGACTTTACGTTAATTGCCAGATTTCGAAATCTTACTGTTAATTTGTCCTCATTATTGCCAGATAGGATACAATTATTGATAGGGGCCTATTTGATAACTATGAACTTTCTTTTAAAGAATTTAATTTTTGAAGACTTCAGCACAAAGGTTTAAATCATTAATATCTGAAATTCAAAAATTAGATTCACTCTACATTAATAAGATTTTTCTCTTATTCTGCTTGTGTGCTGAAACTTACAGATTTCATATAATCTTAGCTGTCTGGAGTAACAGGAGCAGCTCAGTGTCTGACATTTTCAGGAAAAGCATCTGTACTTTCAGACCTCCATACTGAATTAATGAAATGAATTTACAAGGTATTAAGATGTCCTAAAATAACATAAACTTAAGAAAAAAATACAGATAAATATCAACTCACTTGACATTTATGAGGAGGAAAACAAAATTTTCAGTTTAATCTTTCTATTCTGATACAAGACCAATTCATGTAGTACATATCTTAATAGATGTTTGTACAACTTTTGTACTGTTTCTTTTAATTTCATTATTGATGCTAATACTCAGATACTGTTTATATATATTTTTTTTAGATACTGGGGGAGAATTATTCCTTAATTATGGCAACCAAAAATTTTATCAGTTAAATTTCTGTGGAACATTCACAGTTTATTTTCACAATGTTCCTGCAGAAAGAAACCAAAATAAAGTCAATGGCACTCTTTCTAAGTACTTGATAGAAAAGAGGGAGATGATCTGGTATTGTACACACTTGAAGGGTTTTAATCCTTTTGATTTAATGTGACTGATAGGAAGTGATTTATAACGAGTATTACAGTAGATACGCTACAGTGGTATTTTTCAAAGAGAATGAGAACCAAATGGTATTGCAGGATACCTTCTCTGCCCCTCCCACTCCTGAAACCTGCAGTGATTGGGCTTGTGTAATAGGATAATTTAGAGCTCAATATTTTTAAGACAGCATTCTGTTAACACATGATTAGCACAATTTCCTGCTAAAAATGCTACCAGAGTCTTCAAAGAGAGGGTACAGTTTCTTCACGAATTATTTCAGTATTCCAAATATCCAGTTACCAGAACTTACTTTTCCGTGAATCATTTCTTAAGTGTATGAGAACAAACAGTTTTGAGAGGTTTCAGATTTGACCAGAAATGACACAGAGTTATTTTAGTTGGTATTTTCTTGTAACAGAGAAGAGAATTTGCCCACATATGTTTACTGAATTACCCCAATATTTTGGGCCATTTCTTTTTTTGAGAAATCTGATACTGGTTGGGTATCTTTTAATAAAGATGTTTAATTGTACTTGAGGTATATTATCAAGATAAAACATACATCAGTGTCTGTATTATAGATTGAAATGTATACACTTTATCAAATATATTCTTACTGTTATAAGACATTGCAAGTTAATTTGCCATTCCTATTTAGTGTCAAAGATCTGAATTTTATATCCTGAAATCCATATCCTCCCATACGATGATTGATATCCACGAACACAAGAAATTATAACCAATATTCACATGTAGTTTTTTTTAGAATTATTTTTTGAACTAAAGAATTTTTGAGACTACATTTTAAAGAATAAGGTAAGCAATTCACAACAGTTACAATTTCATTCTTGCATTTCTACACTTTTTCATGTATTTATCTGTTGGTTTTCATGTTTAGTTTTGATTTTTAACAAGTTTAACTTTTACCTTATATCTGAATGTAACACTTAATGCCTTCAAGAGATTGTCATTGGTAGTTATTTTGATATTTCTGCTTATGGCTTTATTTTGACCTATGTACACCTCAGTTCAAATTTGTTAGTAATGTACTATCAGTTGTCAAATTTTTAAAATATATTTAATTGTATATTTTGCATAGGTGATGTGAAAATGAGTATATGTCCTAATCAATGAGAGAGGAAGCAGGTTCATAAATAAAAACTTACAATGTGTTAAATGCCATAGCTTAGTAGGGCCCCTGTGATTGGCACTAATTTTGTCGCTAATGCTAACTGAACTACCTAGATATGTTACATGCATCTCAGTATTTTCTAGAGCAAGCTGATTATCTGCTTTTTTTCAATGTGCATCCCAACGGACTTAACAGTACTCCCTGTCTTGTGTAATCATCAGTACTCATCATTCCTGACTGATCACCATTCCTCTGGATTTTGCCCCTGAATTTTCTGGAGACTATGCCTTCCCTCTTATCCCATTGCCACAGCCAAGTTCAGACCCTTATCTGCCTCTTGCAGCGCTGTCTTCTTATCCCTTGTCTCTAACCCAATTCATTGTTTCACTATTATCAGAATTACTCTCCTAAAATAGATCTGAATTGGTCACTTTCTTGTTTAAACACCTTCAATGGCTACACTTTAAACCCTAGTTACAGTGTATAAGACCTTCACACGTTGATCCCAGCCCACCCCTCAAACCACACCCCCTCCCACCCACCTCCCAACTCCCAGCTGTCCAACAGTGTAGCACAGTAGCCCCTGACCAGCCCTGTGCAGCTCTCTGGCTGCATTTTGAACTACCTACAGCTCAGAGTTGAAATTTAGTGACAACACACCATCAGTTGTTCTGCATATTTTCTCCTCTTTGGTTCAGCAGCATTTTTGAGTGGTTCTGAGTGCTGTCTTAGATGCTTGGACTATCATAGCATTCAAATTTTCTTCCCCAAAAAAACTCCTAGGCAGATGATAAAATTACTTACTGTCCTGTAATGTTTTTTCTCTCATATGGCAGAGTCCAGCTGAGAGACCACACTCTCAAAACCAAGCCTTTCCTTTTACTCTTTAAGCATAACAACTCCTCCCAGATCTTTATATGAACCATTGAGAAAATATTTTGGTTCATTTTTCTTATTGATAAACTACATTCCTTAGGCGTCCTTTTAACCTGTTGAAAGCTACATTTTCATGGCTTTTGCAGGTCTAATGATATCTTCACCTCTTGAATTATGGTTTAGCTTAGTATAAAGTGATAGTCTTCCCTTAGCATTTCAAAAATATTACTCCCTTTTCTTCCAAGACCACGTGTTGAAATCAGTTATAGGAATAATTGTCATTCTTTTGTGGCTAATCCATCTTTTCCCTCTGGTTGCTTTTAAGATTTTTCACTTTATCTTTCATGATTTTAAAATTCACTTTGATGGGTCTAGATATGGGTTTATTTTTGTTTAACATACCTGATACTAAGGATGAATTTTTAATCTGAAAACTCATGTCCTCAATTCTGGAAAGTTATTTTTTATGAAATTGCTTATCTGTTTTTGAATTCTCAAGTGACCCTTTAAGATGGGTTTTGGAGCCTCAAATAATCTTTCATAATTTTCATTGACTCTCCTTTTGTATTCTTTCTAGGAAAATGCTCAGTAGTATCTTAATTCTCTATTTATATTCTAGAAGGTCCTCTTCTTTCAAAGTCAAGGACTCTCTATATACATGATTACTAGCTGTTTCAGGTGTTAACCATTTCTTCCTGAATTATATCAGCAAGTTTGTGTTTCACAGTTTTCTCTGGGTCTTTTTTGTGTCTCTCAGGATCTTAAACAAAATGATTTCAAAATCACATATAGATTGTTCCATTATTTTAATTTTTCCAAGACTGGCACACTTGATCTTGTTGACTGTTTCTTTCAATGCTAGTTTTGCTTATGTGCTTTGGAATTTTTGTTGGAAGGTTTTTATAATTTTTCCATGTTCCATGTAGGA